CTCGGAACGCGCGAGCGGAGAACCGTGGCGACGTGACCGCAGCGCTACGGCAGCCGGCGCCAAACTGTGCCACACACACCCCCCCCCCCCTCTCCCGCTCGGCCTCACAACTTCCCGAGTCCGTTCCGGTGACGCGCCGCTTACGCACGTCGTCGGAACGGATTAGGAAGTAAAAACAAGCCGAGCGAGCGGGCCGCGTCGCGGGCGGTTCATGGCCTGCTTGGCTGCCTCCCGGCGTGGACGGCGCCGGCGGCGATGAGGCTTTACCTTGAGGTGCGACAGACAGCTCGCCAGGAATATGTGCCAGTTGTTGAGGAAGAAGGCCTTCTGACTGACGCACAGCAGGCACGTGACCAGCGGAAAGAGAGCCTGCAACAAACGCGCACGAGGCAAAGATCGCCCGTTAGAAAAAAAGCCATACACACAGTGCTGCTGTTAGCAACAATCACCTATTGAAGTCTTTTTTTTTATTTTACCAGCTAACGCCCACTGAGCGACTGTGTAGCTATTTTTGTCAGAAGCGACCTGGCCATCACAAATGATAGCTCAACCAAGTCAATTGTCACGTTGAAATTTATAGCAGGGCGCATATTCTAAATGCACGTTGATTCTAAATGTGGAGGGGAAAAACCCGGAGGACCGAGAGAAAAACTCACGCAACCACAGGGAGAGAGAGAGATAGAGAGAAAGACAACACGCAAACTCCAAATATACAGCAAGCGTCAGGGTCGGGATCGAACCCACGACCGACTGTATACAAGGCGAGGTAGTTAACATCTCCTAGCCACCGTGATGATGATGAGAGAAAGACAACACGCAAACTCCAAATATACAGCAGGCGTCAGGGTCGGGATCGAACCCACGACCTCCTGTATACAAGGCGAGGTAGTTAACATCTCCTAGCCACCGTGATGATGAGAGAGAGACATACAAACTCCAAATATACAGCAGGCGTCAGCGTCGGGATCTAACCCACGACCTCCTGTATACAAGGCGAGGTAGTTAACATCTCCTAGCCACCGTGATGATGAGAGAGAGACATACAAACTCCAAATATATCGCAGGCGTCAGCGTCGGGATCTAACCCACGACCTCCCGCATACCAAGCGAGGGAGATAACATCTCACCACCGCCCGAGCCCACAGACACACATTCCCCCCCCTCCCCATTAACCGAGCTTTTCAGATCAGCCGATTTCTCCCTTCCTTTTCTCTGCCTGGTAACAATTTGTTTTTTTGATAAAAAATATTTGTATTGTTATTATTATTTTATACAGTAAAACCTTGGATTGCGAGCATAAATCGTTCGGGAAACGTGTTTGTAATCCAAAGCGCTCGTACATCAAAGCACTCGTATAACAGTTGTGATCACGTGATGCTCGGCAGTACAAAGCTGCTCGTATTGCAAGACCCTCGCTCGTTTGTCAAATTAATATTAATTTAAAATGTTTGCTCGTCTTGCGAAACGCTCGTGCAGACCAAGTAACTCTCGCAATCCAAGGTTTTAACTGTATAAGTTTATATATATGTATTTTTTTACTTTTTTGATTACTTTACCCCCCACAACCCGGCTCGGCCGTTGGTCGAAGTTCCCCGAGTGACGGACGACGACGCGAGACTCACCAGCGAGTGCTTCTTGCGCGAGGACATGTCGAACGTCGTCTGGTACAGCACGTCGACAAAGTTCTTCAGGCACGGCACGTTCACCTCGTTCTTCACGGCCTGCGAACGGTTCCACACCCGCGGCCCACCACGCCCGGATCGATAAATCAATCGATAGAAGTTGATTTCACGCGCAGATTTCGCCCTCAATAAAGTGGACATCGATGCACGTTACAGCAGAGCGGGAACGGTACGGGGGGAGGAGGGGGGAGGTGAGGTGGAGGCACGGAGCAACAGGAATTAATTCATTTTTAAAAACCCGTCACGACCTAGGCGGGTAACGGCGAATGAGCAGAGTCAATTGCAGCCGCGCGCGAAATAAAGTTGCATCCGTGCTTTCTTTATTCATTTTAGATCACATGGTAAGGTGAGTCTGAACAGTGCGTCACACAGGGACGGCTGCTACTGGGGGTGCCCTCGGCCGGACCACACAACAAACGTCGTACCCTACCTGCAAACTAATGCACCATCTCATGACTCTGCCAGTAGGGGGCAGACTCATGCGATGGTGCCGCTGCACTATGCATGGCGCAGTGTCACCGTGTGTCACACAGGGACGGCTGCCACTGGGGGTGCCCTTGGCTGGACCACACCACAGACTAATGCACGATCGCAGACTGCATGCAGAGTCACCGTGTGTCACACAGGGACGGCTGCCACTGCAACTATGAACTAAACTATTTTTCATTTCACCAGGTAAGGCCCACTTAGGTATAAAGATATTTTTCAGGAGCGACCTGGACGCAAACGATAGCGCAACCAAGTGTGGCCGCCTTATTGCGTGGAAATTTACTGCAGTCAAATACTCTAAACGCACATTGATTCGAAATATGGAGGGGAAAAACCGGAGGACCCGGAGAAATATCCACACGACCACGGGGAAAAACACGAAACTCCAAATATACGGCAGGTGTCAGGGTCGGGATCGAACCCACGACCTCCTGCATACCGGGCGAGGTAGCTAACATCTCGCCACCCTGGTGCCCCACTGGGGGTTCTCCTGGCTGGACCACGTAGCAAACGTCGCCCTCCTACTGGCAGAATAATGCCCCGTCGCAGGTCGTGTGCCGAGTCACCGTGTGCCGAGTCACCGTGTGTCACGCAGGGACGGCTGCCACCGGGGGTGCCCCCTAGGTAGACAACACAGCAAACATCACCCCCCCTTACTGGCAAGACTAATGCCCCGTCGCAGGCCGTGTGCCGAGTCACTTTGATGCCAGGCCACGTGGCGGGTGCCATATACCCCCCCCCCCTCTGCCGTGTCGTGCGGTTCTCGCGTCCCGTTGCGATGAGCAGCAGCCGCACGCACTCACAGCGGCCACCGGCACCAGGATCTCGACGAAGATGCCAGCCAGCGCGTGCTTGATGTCCTTGTCTTTGACCTCCAGGAAATACTGAGCGCACTCCTGCATCGGCGCCGCACACACACACGCACACACGCGCGCACAGGTATGTCGCACGCTTGCGCCGGGCTAGGTGCACTTTGGTTTGTACGCGGGGGGCGGCGGTGCGGCGGGGCGAGCGCGCGGAGCCACGAACCCGGCGACGCGAGCTCGATTCCCGGTCACGGCCGACACCGGTGACGAGATTATCTCATCTGGGATTTTAGAACGGCGCTTTTTGTCAAAGCGATTTACAGGAATTAAAAAATGGTACGTTAGTATACGCTGATGGGGGGAAAAGGGTTGGGATTTGAGGAGAGGTGACGTCAAGGAAGGGCGATGATAGGGAAAGGGAGAGGGGTGAGGTTTTGGAAGGGAAAGGATGTTAAAGGTTTGAAGGACGAGGGCAGGAAGTAGTAGAGCGATACGCTATTGGAAAAAACAGATACATTTTAAGGGAGAAACGAAAAAATGGCGAGTGAAAATGGCGAGCGAAGTTGCCCTGCATGATGTGGAGTGGGAATTTATTCCAACGCAGGGGATAACAGAGATTGCGAACGCAGGGGGCCTAGGTGCGACGACGTGGTAAGAAATAGGAGAAGCGAGATAGGGTGGGGCAGAACCACGGAGCGATGTGCACACAAAAGGGTGAGGAATTTTAATAAACAGCGGTAGTAAATGGGAAGCAAATGGAGTTGGACGAGGAGAAAGATAAAAATGGGTGCGACGTGGAAGATTGAAAATCATCCGGGCCGAAGCATTTTGAACTTGCTGGAGGCCAGCAGAGGCGTAGGCAGAAAGAACAAGAAGAAGGGAGTTACAGTAGTCAAGATGAGGGAATGGATGAGTATTTTAGCATCGGAAATTGAAATGAGGGGGCGAATTTTTCCTCGACCTTGAAGAGACGATTCGATTATGCACGGTTGGCTACGTACGGTGCGCGAAAGAAGTTCAACATACGTACACCAATCTGAAGCCTATATTCTTGGTTCTTTCGGTAAAGTCACGTAGAAGGGAAAACAATAAAATAATAAAAATATAAAATTCTCACGACGTTTCGACTGCAACACAAGCAATCATCATCAGGTGTGAAAACCACAGCCAAGAAAATTTGAAAGTTTACATCTGAAGCAGTTAAGGTCGCCAACTTCGTAGTGCAGCGAGCTAGCCACTACCCTACCGCTCCCCACGTGCGCGCGCGGTCACACACCCGAGCACACAAAGATTCCCCGTATAGCCTTTACAGACCGTTGGGGCAAGTGCTGTTAGCGAGGTGGCCAACACGGTACACATGAGGGGGTGGGTGGCCAGCACCACGCACCTCGTCTGACCACCGTTGCCTCCCCGGGTACTCATCGGAGGTCAAGCCGATCTAAGAGAGGCACCAGGACCGGTTGAGACAATCGTCACCGATGTTGTGGCCGTGAGCGTGGAATGGACCTCGGGTCGCCGGGTTCGCTCCCCGCGCTCGCACGCACGCTCGCACGCTCGCACGCACGCACACGTGCCTGCAAAAACTGGAAGGAGGCCTCGAACTCCTCCACGGGGTACATCTTGACGCGGAAGAACTTGATGCCCATGATGAGGCTGATGATGCACTGAGACACCTGCGGGGTTGGCTCTTTCTGGCGCAGCTCTTTCAGCTCCGTCACGAACTTTTTGCGCACCGTGTGGAACCTGCGGGTGCAAGGTTGGGGGTGGGAGTGGGTGGGTTCGGTGGGGGGGATGGTGGGGCAACCGGGGGTTTGGGGGGGTGGGCACCAGCAAACGCGAGTAGGAAACGGCGAGACCGTTGATAAGATCCACGTCACGGTGGCAATTGGATAAGTAAATATTCTGACAGATGTGAACGTGACTTGGCAGCCGCTACCAAACCCTACAGCGTGTCAACAAAACGACGAGCAGAACCTCGTGAAAACGAGAAGAAGCCGTCCTGTCCGTTGACTTATTTCGTCACTTCGATTCTCCACAAGGAAGGCGACGCGAATGATTTACTTTGAGTCGCGCGTTTTTGAGCCGCACTTTGCCATCGAACCGGGACGCATATCTGGAAGAGGTTGGGGTGGGGGGTGGGGGAGCACTCTGTGGATAAAGATCTGGCGAAACGAGCAACACGAGTTGATAACACGGCCCGAGTGTTGATAAAATACACGTCGCGGGGACACTCGCAATAACAATAATGATGATGATGATCTCAACTAACGTGCCACACAGAAGTTACTAGTTCTCCAAGGGAGAGAACAACTCAGGAGGTGCATGGAGCCGGAAGTTAAACTAAACTATTTTATTTATTTTACCAGCTAAGGCCCCACTGAGCTACGTAACTCTTTTTCAGAAGCGACCTGGCCACAAACGATATTCAACAAAGTGGCTTATCATCATCATCATCATCATCGCGTGGGAATTTATAGCAGCGGCCAAATACTCTTAAACGCATGACGATGGTTCTAAATGTGGAGGGGAAAAACCGGAGGACCCAGAGAAAAATCCACGCGACCACGGGGAGAGAGATACGCAAACTCCAAATATACAGCAGGCGTCATGGTCGGGTTGGAACCCACGACCTCCTGTATCACCAGTGCGAAGTAGTTAACATCTTGCCACGGAGAACCACAGACCAGCGGGACGGCATCAGCCATGCGGCAAACCGGCACTACTAACAGTGTCCAAGCACTGCGGTCCTCTGTATATGAAGGTGTTTTTGGCAAATGAATGACAGTTCACACGTGGGAGGAAACCGGAGCACCAGGAGAAAACCCACGCGTGCGAGGGAGCAACGCTCTATCCCATACAAACAAAACACGCGGAAGCCCAGAAAGAAATAAACTTGAAACTTGACAATGATGATGATGATGATAACAGGCAAATGGGGCGATGGTCACTCACTTGGACTGGGCCAGCACTCCGATGACCTCTGCATATAGGTCAGCAATGATGTGCATGTTGCCGATGTTGGGACCCGAATACCTGGGAAGGGGAGAGACGCACGCGCACACACGCACACATGCACGCCACCTGTGTGAGTGCAGAACAACACTCACCCACAGAGCATAGAACTTCGCACTGCCCCAAATATGCATTTGTAGCGGGGTGGGTTTGGATGGTGGGTGGGCTTGGGTTGGTGTGTTTCCGAGATTCGGTGGCGAACGGCACAACCATCCACGCACCCTGCCCACTTGCAGACGTCTCGGAACGGGAAAGAGGTTAGGTACTCACCCTTCCCGGTACTTGAAGTGCTTGAAAGCCAAGTTGACAACTTCATGCACCATTGAGTCCGGCACAGGATGCACTGGAATCTGTAAAATCAAGACACCACGATGCCACCACAACCACCACCACCACCACCACCGTCGCCGCCGCCACCACTGCCACCACCTCATCGGTCAAAGCTCTCTACTAACCGCCAGATCCTACAGCTGCTGCACAGGAGAGACACGCAGTGAGTACCAAGATCTGCCCATGACAAAGTCTCCCACCGTCTGGCCGCGAGAGCTCACAAGGAGCTCCGTAATCGTACAGCAGCCCACAGACCTCCGCACAGAAGATGCGAAGGTTATACCAGAGACACATAGGCTCGCGCCGAGAGGCACACGCTTACGCGGAGAGCCATAGACTCACGCGGAGACCCATAGACTCGCACAGAGACCCCACGGACTCATACACAGAGCGACAGACCTACACAGAGACACATAGACTCACAGAGATGCAAAGGCCAACAGAGACTCAAGACTCATACAGAGAACCTGGTCTCTGCGTGAGTCTAGGAGTCTCTATGCAAGTATATGAGTCACCTGCGTGTGAGTCTACAGGTGTCTGTGTGAGTCTACGGGTGTCTGTGTGAGTCTACGGGTGTCGGTGTGAGTCTACGGGTGTCTGTGTGAGTCTACGGGTGTCTGTGTGAGTCTACGGGTGTCTGTGTGAGTCTACGGGTGTCTGTGTGAGCCTACGGGTGTCTGTGTGAGTCTATGGGTGTCTGTGTGAGTCTACGGGTGTCTGTGTGAGTCTACATGTGTCTGTGTGAGTCTACGGGTGTCTGTGTGAGTCTACGGGTGTCTGTGTGAGTCTACGGTTGTCTGTGTGAATCTACGGGTGTATGTGTGAGTCTACGGGTGTCTGTGTGAGTCTATGGGTGTCTGTGTGAGTCTATGGGTGTCTGTGTGAGTCTATGATTGTCTGTGTGAGTCTATGGGTGTCTGTGTGAGTCTATGGGTGTCTGTGTGAGTCTATGAGTGTCTGTGTGAGTCTATGGGTGTCTGTGCGAGTCTATGGGTGTCTGTGTGAGTCTATGGGTGTCTGTGTGAGTCTATGGGTGTCTGTGTGAGCCTATGGGTGTCTGTGTGAGTCTATGGGTGTCTGTGTGAGTCTATGATTGTCTGTGTGAGTCTATGGGGTCGTTATTCGTTAACAGGGGTGGACGCTTAAGAGGGGGTTCTGCTAAAATAATTTCTTTATTATTTTATCAAGGAATGCCACAACGGCTAAAACCACCCCGAGTCGTTGGACAGGAGCCAGATAACCATCTGACGGACACACACACACACGGGGGGGGGGAGCGACAGCAGACGGCCGGAGATTAACGATCAGACTAAGCTCGGCGAATCGCTAAAAAAATTCAACGTGCGTGCGCGTTGAATTGAGCGGCGGTTAGTTGCTGCCGCGCTGCAAAAACCCGGCGACCCGGATTCGATTCCCCGCTCACGGCCACCACCAACACACCAGCAGTGACGATTATCTCTGAGCCGGTCCCAGGCCTCGACTCGGCCTCAAATGGGTAACCCCGGTGGCGGTACGTAAACATCGCCAACGGGGAGAACAATGGCGGCTGTGGGTGGTGCTAGCACACCCCGAGTTCCACCAAACTCCTCCACCGAGCTCCGCCGAGCTGCTTCATGGAGCTCCACCACTGAGCTCCTCCAAGCTCCACCGAGCTATCCCAAGCTCCACCACCGAGCTTCCCCGAGCTCCACAACCGACTTTCCCCAAGCTCCAACGAGCTGCTCCACCGAGTTTCCGTCAAGCTCCACCACAGAGCTCCACCACAGAGCTCCCGCGCACCGAGCGGCTCACCTGCTTGAGGACCTCGATGAGGGCGAGGCAGAAGATGAAGTCGATGGCCAGGTCCCTCCGCTCGAAGAGGAAGTCCCTGTCACGATGCTGCTCATCCCTGAACACCAAAATAAACGCCAACGGCGGAGATGAGACCTGCGGTGCTACCACCGTACCATCGACACCACAACTACCCAGTGGGGGGGGGAGGGGTGAGAAGGGGGCAGGGGGCACCCACCCCCTCGTGTGCCATGCCGGCCTGCATGGTTGCTTAAAGGGCACTTGCCCCATCTTCGTGTATGAAGTTCATGATGACAATGTCTTATCCAGGGGGTCACAGGACAGACCCCCGGGTGTCACGGGTAGACCGATTGAGATGACTTTCAGATGCACCAACTTTCGCACGCTAAGACAAAGATCCCCCCGTGTGGCCTTTAACAGAATGTTGTGTGTGCGCGCATGTGTCCATCCGTGTGTGTGTGATGCGTGCGTGTGTGTCCATCCACGCGCGCGCGTGTGTGTGTGTGTGTGTGTGCATACGTGTGTGCATGCGCGTGTCCGTCCGTCCGTCCGTCCATGTGTGCGTGTGTCCATTCGTGCCTGTGTGTGCGTGTGTCCACCCGTACGTGTGCGTGCGAGTGCATGCGTCCATCCGCGTGTGCGTGCGTGCGAGTGCGTGCGTGCGAGTGCGTGCGTGAGTGCGTGCGTGAGTGCGTGCGTGAGTGCGTGCGTGAGTGCGTGCGTGAGTGCGTGCGTGCGTGAGTGCGAGCTTGTCCCCCACCCTTTGGACTTGGTGCTGGAGCGTGGGCGGTACTCGTGAGACTCGTCGTCCACGCCGTTCTGGCGCTTGAACCAGTCGATGAGCGTGCGCAGCAGGGAGGGCAGGCAGTACTCGGCGACGGCGCTCATGGCGCTCAGCAGCTGAGAGCAAGAGACAAAAGGCCCGGCCGCCCCCCCCCCCACCCCGTGTAGCCTTAGCAGGCTCATGGTGGCACGGTTGGCTACGCACGGTGCTAAAGAAGTTCAACATAGGAGCATTAACAGACTGTTGGGGCAAGCCAGCAGCACCTATGAAGGCCGGCACGGCGCACGAGGGGGTGGGTGGGGTGGGTGGCCAACGCCACTCCCGGCCGACTTTTGTCTCCCCGGTGGCGATGTTCACACACCGCACCGGGTACTCGTTTGAGGCCGAGTCGACCTCGGGGAGACCCAGAAGCGATTCAGATAATCGTCACTGTTGGTGGCCTTGAGCGGGAATCGAACTCGGGTCGCCGGGGTCGTAACACGGCGCGCTGAGGGCTGCACCACCGCTCCCCCACAACAGTAATGGAACAACAAAGACAAAGATCCCCCGTGTCGCCTTAACGGACAGCTGGGGCAAGCGTTGTTAGCGAGTAGCACCTATGAAGGCCGGAAAAGCACGCTGGCACACACAAAGACACAAATATACAGACACACGCAACACACGTGGACGAAGACAACAAGGAGGCAACCCAATGTGTAGCCTTTGATCCTGCTGCTGCCCATGCTACTGACGATGCTGCTAATGACGCTGCTGCTGATGATGACGCTGCTGCTGATGATGGCGCTGCTGATGACGGTGCTGCTGATGATGACGCTGCTGATGATTGCACTGCTGGTGATGGCGCTGCTGGTGATGGCGCTGCTGATGAGGATGGCGCTGCTGATGAGGATGACGCTGCCGATGATGACGCTGCTGATGATGATGACGCTGCTGATGATGACGCTGCTGATGATGACGCTGCTGGTGATGGCGCTGCTGGTGATGGCGCTGCTGGTGATGGCGGTGCTGATGAGGATGACGCTGGTGATGATGACGCTGCTGATGATGACTTTGCTAATCATGACGCTGCTGGTCATGGCGGTGCTGATGATGACGCTGCTGATGATGACGCTGCTGATAATGACGCTGCTGATAATGCTGCCGTTGCTGATGCCGATGAAACCGATGCCGATGATGACGATGCTGCTGACGATGATGACGATGCTGCCGATGACGCCGACGCCGAAGCTGCGGTAAGATGACACCAACCTGATCGAACTGGAGGTCTTCTCCTCTCTGCAGCGACTTGGACAGCAGCCTCTCCTGCACGGGGGATAACAGACAACGGGTCAGGCAAAACCACGTTGCCAGATTGCAGTCATACCCTGCCCCGCGCGGTTTGATCGAACGCATGTTTCAGCTCCTCGCGGTTTACATATCGAGCGACATTTTACCGGAACACGGGGGGTGATGTTTCGGCCTAAGCGACGTCTGGTGGGAAAGAGGTTCAACGTGCATACATACACAGAGACCCACAGACACCCACAGAGACCCGCAGAGACCTACAAAAAATAGCACGGTTGGCTACGTACGGTGTGAAAGAAGTTCAACGTATATACATACCCAGAGACTCAGACATACACAGAGACGCACAGACCAGCACGGTTGGCTACGTATAGTGTGAAAGCAGTTCAACATACACACATACACAGAGACCCAGAGACTAGCACGGTTGGCTACGTATAGTGGGAAAGAAGTTCAACATACACACATACACAGAGACCCACAGACTAGCACGGTTGGCTACGCATAGTGGGAAAGAAGTTCAACATACGTACTCACCATTGGACTCGGCCATGATGATGCCGATCACAGCCAGAGCGATACAGAGCTAGAGATATCGATCTCAAGATATCTATCTCGAGAGAAATATCTCATAGGCGGTGACATGGGGATAGTTAGAGGGAGATCACTCTCATTGGGCAGTAGTACGGAGATAGCTGAAGAGATACAAAGGCTGTCGCACTCACCATGGGCGAGGTAATGATGACTGCTGATCTTGGCCAGATTGATACAGAGACATCAATCTCGGTGCAGGGCCGGCGTTATGTCTCCATTGTTTTAGTAAGTTTTAGAGGGGCTTGGTTTGGCCCGATTTTTTTGTTATTTAGTATAGATTTATGCTTAAAATTTTCATCTGTATTGCATTATGATTGTTATTGGGATCAAACATCGAAATGGAATTTTTTTGCACTTTTTGTACGCATCATGGACGGGCGGTGCTTTTTCTCGTAGGATTTTATTGTTCATGTACGTGATGTTTAGATTTGTGTACAATTAATTTTAGGTGTATCTTGTAATTGTATTGTTTGTTGCGGTTGCACCCAAATCAAGAGCCGAATGTCTCACAGGGTAAATCCTAATAAATGAAACTGAAAAAAAACTGAAAAAACATCTCACAGGCGGTGATACGGAGATGGCTCGGGGGACAGATATCTCATGACACTGTGTAACAAAAGGTGTTTTTTTGGTTCCTGGGTAGTAAGTGTTATTTCATAATTGCTTATGCCTCAAAAGTACAGAAAACGGATATTATTATTCCCCACAAACTTTGCTTTTGTGACCAGGACAGTAAGATATTTTGAAATGTTCCTATTTTCAATGAGAAAACGTGGTGTGCATTTGTGCCATTCCTCCACGTAAAGTCCTGGTCACAAAAGCAAAGTTTGTAGGGAATAATAATAATAGCCATTTTTTATGCTTTTTAGGCATAACCAATAAAAAAAATAACACTACCCAGGGACCAAAAATCGTGCTACATAGTGTAATCAGTGACAAGGAGATAGTTAGATGGAGAGAGCCAGAGCGATACACAGAGAGACAGAGACGTCTATGTATACAATGGTGCACGTCCCACATTATAGTTCGAGATGTCCATCTCACAGGCAAGCGATCAGGGGATCACAGAGGCCGCCACGCTCACCATGGGCTCGGCCATGATGATGCTGATCTTCCGCTCGGCATGCTGGGTGAACTCGGCAAAGAGGCTCTTGAGGACAAACTCCCCGGGTTTGACGCTGGGGTCCACCCCCACGGGCACCGGCGTCGCCATCATCGCGTTCATCATCCACCACCTCGTCGTCCTCCTCGTCGCCGGCGCCGCTGCTTCTGTAGCCCCCGCGGCAGCGGCTGCTGCGCCCGCCGCTGCCGCTGCGCCGTCGTCACGTCCGGGGTTACGCGGGGGGCGCCGGAGGCTCCGTCTGGGAGTCGCCGTTCCGGTGGAAGCCGGGCTCGAGGAAGTGCCGGAGGCTGCGGAGAGATGTAATTCATCGTCGCTATCACGATTGTCGTCGGCGTTGTCGTTGTTGTCGTCGTTGTTGACTTTACCGAAAGAACCAAAGAGGATGTTGTTGATATTGATCGCCGAGTCTCAGGACCCGTTTGTCGAGAGAGTCCTGCCAAGTTTAATGCAGTGGGGGGGGGGGGGGGGGCGATTGTTGTTGTTGTTGTTGCTGCTGCTACTGCTGTGTGTGTGTGATCTCGACTCAGCAATTTGCAAAGGGGGGGGGGGGCGAGAGGTTTTTCAATGGCAGTTCCACTGTTTGTGTGGGTTTAGCTATGGGAGGAGGAAACCGGAGAAAACCCACACAGAACTGTGAAAGAGAACACACAAACTCACTCGCTCGCACTCTCACACTCACAATCACTCGCTCGCACAATCAAAGCGGAGAGACAATACAAACTCCACAGCAACTCACACTCTCAGTCAATCTCTCACTCACTCGCGCTCTCACGCTCTGCAGAACGGGGGGGGAACAAAGCACACACACACACTATTGCACACTCGCACTCACTGGATCAACCGTAACGCTTAGCCACGTCGGCTGAAGAAAGTAGCTCGGCGGGAAACCGCGTCGTGAACGTGCGCGTTCCGCTCTACAGCGGTGTGCGGGTTATAAAGCGTTCCCTAACTGAAGAGACGCGTGGCAGCGAAGACGCGTTGTACTGCGAACCCCGCCGCGCGTTAAGCGAGGACTTGCCGTTGTGCCCCGGGGGCACAAACACTTAAAGTTGGTTCCGTCGCCCTGAAAACATTTCGACAAATATTGCTGTTACTTCGGCGTTGTTGTCGATGCATTAAAACGCGGCGCTGAGGATCGTAATCGTTCCGCGGGATCTAGCCTTCCTCACCGGACGTTCGTATAATCCGGGGAGAGCACGGCCACAGTCAGTGAATGAATGGGAAGGCCTCACCCCCGCTACGGTCGAAGAATTGGTCTAGAGCAGGCCGGCCATGTGGCCAGATGACAAAAGTGTCATCCACGTACCTCTTCCATAAGGTTGGGCGCAGAGTGGCAGTCTGGATGGCGTCAGTCTCAAATTTCTCCATGAAAATGTTGGCTACAACCGGAGATAGGGGGGAGCCCATTGGGGTGCCCTCAGTTTGTTTGTAGAAAGTTCCATTCCAAGTGAAGTATTTATTGTTTGAGCAGTGTCTCACCAGGGGGGGTACCTAAGTGTTCAGTCCTTGATGAACCAAGTCTTCAATGATTGCGATGGTGTCAGGTACAGGAACTTTGGTGAATAAGGAAACTACGTCAAAACTGACAAGCAGGTCGTCTGGGGACAGGGAAATACCCTTGATTGTCGATACCAGGTGAGTAGAATTTTGTACCGCAGAGGTGTTTTTTCCAGTGAAAGGCCGCAGGATTTCAGACAGAAAACGAGCCAGTTTGAAGGTGGGGGAGTTGATAGAAGAGACGATGGGACGAAGGGGTGTATCTACTTGATGTATTTTGGTAAGCCGTATAATCTTGCTGGTCTGGCAGCAGAAGGTTTCAACGAGAACTGTTTGGTTTGATCAATTAATGCAGTTGAATCAGAAATGATTTTGTTGGTTTGTATGACGAGGCTGTTGGTGGGATCTCTTTTTATTTTTGTATAGCTGCCATCATTGAGTAATTCTTGAATTTTGTTGTTATATTCTATTTTATCCATGATGACAGTGGCATTGCCCTTGTCGGCTGAGAGGATGACAATGTCATCCCTCTTTTTTAATTTATATAATTCAAAACGCTCATCTTTGCAGAGGTTGCTAGCTGGCATCTTAGCGTTTTTTAGGGTTGCAGCGATTTCAGATCTTGCTACGTCTGCAGCAATGTGACCCAGGCCCTTGAGAGCCACGTCTACTTGGGCAATGATATCATTAACTGGTATGTGTTTAGGTGTGACTGCAAAGTTTAGCCCTTTAGCTAAAACGGATTTCAGACCATCGGAAATAGAATTGTTACTGCGATTAATTACGACTTTGTTAACGTCTAGCTTTTTGGTGTGTGGGTCCGGTCTTTTGTTGGAGAGGCGGTTGAATTTGGAAATCAAGTTGTCCTTACATTTGGTCGACAGTGGGAGCTGAAGAGGCAGTCATTGTCTACATGTTCCCAATCCAATGTGGATATTGTTGCCGTCAATGATAAGTGTGATTTGTAGAGCGTCTTGTCTAACTGATCTAGTTCGGTGCGTATTTGTCTGATTTTCTCTGAGATAAGAGCTAAGCTAGTTCTGGAAAAAATTCGTTTCGCATTAGAAGAAGTTACAGCAGCAGAGGTCAGTGTAAATACGATTGGTATTACCCCAGAGTCGCGGCATCTCTTCAGAAAGGTGAGAGACTCGATCAGCTGAGCCTTCTTATCCCGGAGTTTGTTGAAGGATCTCAAAGTTATGTGGAAACCCTACCCGTAGAGGAGGTTAAATTTTGATTTAAAGCTTTCGTGACTGCAGGGATTCATATTCTTGGTTCTTTTTGTAAAGTCACGTAGAAAGGAAACAATAAAATAATAAAAATATAAAACAATAAAATTCTCACGACGTTTCGCCTGCAACACAAGCAATCATCACCAGGTGTGAAAACCACAGCAAGAAAATTTGAAAAAAGTGGCGTTTTTTTTTACGTTAGTAACACTGAGAGCGATTTGACAGTTTGTTCAGATGGACGAGTCCATCTATGTTCGGAAAAGAGGAGGGGGGAGACGAAAATAATGGATGCGGTCTGAAAGCCACTGTAAGCGTGAACAATCAATTAAGACCCAAAATGGTTTATCAAATCCTTCCAATGATTGCTAAGCCAGAATCCATCTTCTCGCTTGAAATTGTCTCTGTGTTTGTATATGTGGATAGCCTCATGAACGAATCTCTCATAGTAGCCAGATGGCTTGCAAAGAACCTCTGTCTTGGAGAAGTCAATGTCATGTGAGCCTACTAAATTATAACAGTGACCTGCCACGGCCGATGTGTTGGTCCTACCGTGTTTAATTATTGTGACTTTACCGAAAGAACCAAGAATATGAATCCCTGCAGTCACGAAAGCTTTAAATCAAAAATAATAATTATGATGTCAAACTAGCGGTGTCGCGCAAGAGTTGCTTGCTCTCGAAGAGAGGGGACCACCCAGAGCAGCTGGGTGGCATTGTCTACGCAGCTAGCCGGCGCTACCAGCATTTGCCCAAACTCTGCGGTCTTCTGTATTTTAAAAACCCTTTCACCGTTTGCGAGATGTTACCGCAAGTTTTGGGAGGTGTGGGTGCTGTCCCATTCACCGCCCAATCTCGGAACGTGCGAGCGGCTCGGCGTTCACTTTATTTCGAGAGGCGTAGCAGCGCCGTTGTTTTTTAAAGACGTTGTTACTCGACCCGCAGAGAACCGCAGAGACGCGACCGCAGCCACTCTGCGATAGCCGGCGCCGAAACTGTGCCACGCGCTCTCTCTCGTACAGCTTTGTGGGAGCCTCGGGTACGTCTTCCGATCTGAAGAAGTATCGGAACGGAATCGGAAGAAAAACCGATGACGTGCACATCACCGGAATGGGAAAGGGTTGAGACGTTTTCGGGGCAATTAACGAGCGTCGACATGCGTGCAGGGAGGAAACCGGAGCGCCCGGAGAAAACCCACGCGTGCGAGGGGGGCAACGCTCGATCCCGTACAGGGGGTGTGGGGGGGTGGTAGGTGTTGGGGTGTGGGGGGGAGGCAGGGGAGGAGGACCATTTCATTCCGTGCACCTAGGCCTAAAGACTACCGCTCCCCACCAGGTTGCTTTGTTTCAATTAGTCCTTCGCTCTGTCAAGGCCTGGTTGACAACAAACCGGGGGAGGCCGGGTGGGCCCAGGGGGCAGAGGTTATCAGCGAAAAACGCGGCGGATTTACCACGACGGACGGTCGAGGGGACAGTTTTTTTTTCTTCTCCTCAATCTCTCTCGGTTTGTTTCAAAAACGTGAATAAAAACAAATCCTCGTGTTTGCCGTTCACGCTGGCCGCGCGATCGATCGTGACTGCGATTGCGCGAAGGCTGCGAGCGCTGTCGGCGCCGCGTGTCGCTTCATCAGCGGCGCAGTCGCAAAGCACAGATGGCCGTGGTCTATCCGCTGCTGGCCGAATGAAAGTCTCCAAACAAGCTCGATGTGAATCGAGGAATCTAAGCCGTCTTTGTACCGGTTTCTCCCACCGACAACGCATCCGTCTCACTAAAGCCCACCGGCCACGTCTTATCGTTCGTCATTGTTAATAGATTTATATTATTCTGCAAGTTTGCCAAAGCGAAGCCTCGCCGAATCTCATGAACTCGCTTTCAGGAGGGATTCCTGCCAAGTTGGGTGTTGCTGCCGCCGCCGTGCGTGAACGCGTGATCCCAATCGAGCGACTTTGAGGGTCATTTTTTTCATCGCCGACATGTCCGGCCAATGACGGCAGTTGGTTAACGTTGAGTGTCGTTTTGAGCCCCACACATGGCAGAGAGGCACTCGGGTCAAACCCAGGTCCCCCCCCCCCTCCTTGCCGTGAGGCATCGAAGCCGCGTTGGCGAGATGTTAACTACCTCGCCCGGTGTACAGGAGGTCGTGGAAAATATGGACTCCACGTATTTCGTCTGCATGGGGATCGAGTGTGGCACCCTCTCACACGCGTGGGTTTTCTCCGGGTGCTCCGGTTTCCATCCCACGTCACGTGAAATTTCGTTAATTGGCCAAAAACACCTTCAAATAAACAGAGGACCGCAGAACTTGGGCAAATTGTAAGTAGCGCCGGCTTGCCGCGGGGCTGATGCCCTACCACTGCTCCGTGGTTCGCGGTGGCGAGATGTTAACTATCTCACCTCGTATACAAGAGGTCGTGGGTTCGATCCTGACCCTGACGCCTGCTGTATATGTGGAGTTTGCGTGTCTCTCTCTCTCCGTGGTGAGATGTTAACTGCCTCGCTTGGTATGCAGGAGGTCGTGGGTTCGATTCCGATCCTGATGCCTGCTGTATATTTGGAGTTTGC